TTAAACACATACTTTAATAATGGACAATATGGTAGATTTGTGGACTGTTTTCAACTAACTAAATTTTAGACACTTCAAGATGATTAATACAGTCTTATCATCGTCCATTTTATTTTTTCCCCACTGAGGGTCAAGGCCTTCTTTGCTTTTCTTCTTCTAAGTAAATCAGCTGGTTGAGAGTTGTATAATAATGAACTATAATGTATGCTAAACACATAGAGGGCAAGGATCAGATGCATTTTCTTCAAGGCTCAAATGAATTGGTAATAAATGCTGTTGATGGGAACTATGGAGATATTTAAGTATTAAATGTGTTAACTTTATCCATTTTGTTTTGATTGAAACAATCAGACTAAACTATTGAGCCTTCATTTTGATGAGAGGTTAAACTAAGTGAGGGACTGAGATGATATTGTATATAAAGCAGCAGACTTTACTGGAAGATTACCCTAGGGGATCTTATTAGTTCCTGTGATTTTTTTTTTTAAAGGCACAAAACCAAATTTTCCTTATCTATTAGTCATAGAGTTCATACACAATGCTCACCTAAATGGGGACTGTTCAGTGTAATATTTTGACTCACGCACCACAGCTTCCTGTGAGCAAAACAGCAGCTCCCCTGGGAGATTATGGGGATTTACACAAATCAGATAACCTGAGTGCCAGGAAGCAAACACGAACAAAAAATTCAAGACTCGGAGTGGCTTGAGGATGGAAGGAGGTGCTTCCCTAAGTTCAGAGTGCTCCTTGCCATTCCTAGAGCTCACCTAGAAATGCTGCAGCTGTTTAGGGAGGTTCCTGCACCGTGTTTGCACAGTTTGTATTTAACCGGATTTCACAATACATCGATTTTCTTTGACCTCCCCTTCTCTTCCCGGCCTTTGTTTCACTTCTGTTGCTCTCCCTATGTTCTCCTGCTTCCTTCCCTTTTCTGCTTCTAGCCCTGATTGACTTGCTTGGAGAGTAGCCTTAGAATTTCATTCTCCTGCTCAGGATTTTGGCTCAGCCTCTTGCTCACGCATGTGCCTGTGGTTCAACGACAACTTGCAGATTTCACAATGTGCATGCAGTGAGACACCTTCATCATAATTTAGGCATGTAGATCTGCTTAGTGGCAATATAGAGAAAGTATTAATTAGGTCATTTTATAAGAGAATACACAGAAGCTCTTTCATAGCCTTGGGGCAAAGTACCAATATCACACATTAAATTACGAAAAGAAGACCTAACACAGGCAAAGATTTAAAACTAGGAAAGCTGACAGCCATTAGAGCCTCTATTTGGAAGAGAGAAATTTTCAGTCTGCGGACTTTAGCCTAATTTTTCTAATGATAGCTTTGTTTGTGACTCTTTAAAAGGTCATTTGCAAGAGCTCCCAGTCGGAGAATTATAACTAGATAAATGAAATGGGAAGTTAATTTGTTTTAAATGACAGTAGGCACTCTCGTGTACTGCTCCAGTATCATCATGCAGTGGACGTCAGATGCAGCTCCAAGTGGTGCTGAAAGCGGGAGTCAGGGCAGCCTGTACCTTCTGGGCCACCGAAGAGCAGCAGAGGCCATCCTGATTGAGCGAATTTTGGTTATATTCATTCTTAGTTGGAAGATAATTGTTTAAAAATAGTAGATTTTTTTTTTTTTTGAGGGGGAGTGGGTACCAAGGATCGAACTCAGGACCTTATGCTTGCCCAGCAAGCACTTTTTTTTTTTTTTTTTTTTAAGACTAGGTCTCATTAGGTAGTTGAGGTTTGCTTTAAACTCACTATGCAGTCCAGAATGACCTCAACCCCATGGTGATCCTCCTGCCTCAGGCTTCCTAGTGCTGTGATGATAAGCATATCCCATCATGCCTGGCTAAAAATAGTTTTTGAGATGAAATCAACAATTTAAAAAACTTCTCATGAATGGCATAGTATGGCCCAACTTGATTACTTTTGACACATGTATTTATCCTAGAAGCCATCATTATGATTAATGTAAGAATATACTCATCACTTCAAATTTTCTTTGTGTTCTCTTATAATCGTGTCTCCTACCCCTTTCTGCCCATTTGTCATACCCAGGCCCTCAGTTCCCAAACTGCCAAGGGCATACTTTCTGTCACAACAAAATAGTTTGCATTTTCTGAGATTTATATGAATAGGCTAATACATTATGCATACACTCCAGCTTATTTCACACAACCTAATTATTTTGAAATTTATCTATGTTATAGTGAATAATAATAATTCATTTCTTTTTGTTGTTGACTAGTGTTCCATTAAATGGGTATAGCATAGTTTAGTTATTCAGCTTTTAATGCACATTTGAGATGGGTCCTGTTTTGGACTACAGTAAGTTTCATGATGAGCCTTTATATGGGCATATGCTTTCATTTTTCCTGGGTAAATAGCTATTGTAATAAGAAAATTGCTACAATTACTTTGTAAGAAACTATCAGATTATCAAGTATTTGCATGATTTTACATTGCATGAGAGAAATACAAGTGATACAGTTTTCTTTAGCTTCACCAGTATCAGGTATGGTCATTTTCTAAAATATTAGGCACTCTAGTTACTATTTAGTTATCTCCCATGTGGTTTTTTCCTTTATAGTTTGTCAATATGGTTAAATATTTGAAATTAATTTTTGGATGTGTGTGGACTAAACTCAAGGCCTTCACTCTGAGCTGCATCTTCTGTGCCCCCTTTTATTTTATTTTTGTTTATTTATTTTTTGGCAGAACCAGGGATTGAACTCAGGCCTTTGCACTTGCCAGGCAAGTGCTTATCTTACTGAGCTATCTCTCCAGCCCCCCCCCATTTTATTTTTTGAGACAGAGTTTTGCTTCTTCAGTAAGTTGTCTTTCCTGAGCCTTAACAGGTATGTGCCTCCATGCCTGGCTTAGTTTCTTTAATTACACTGATTTATCATGCTATCTAAACATTGTCTCATTGGTCTCTTTTGTATACATTGTTAGATTAATTTGATAAAATTTTAGTTTTTAATTTTGTGTCTGTATTTATGAAGGATGTTCATCTGTAGCTCTGAAATCTTTACTTTCTACTTAATCTATATCTATCAAATATTGAGAAGATGATCAATCTCTTGCTGTAATAGCTATTTATACTTTTTCTTTCAGTTATATAATATTTTGCTTTATATATTTTGAAACTCTGTCATTAAGTGTATCTTTAAGACTTCAACATTTTGAACATGCTCTGTCATCACAAAGTTCTTACCGGTGATAATTTTTGCTCTGAAATTTACTCTTTGAGATTACTATAAGCACTCCAGATTTATTTTGATTCATTTTTACATAACATATCTTCTCTTGTATACTTTTACATAATTATTTTGGTTTTGAGGTCCTGGGACTTGAACTCCGGACCTTGCACTTGCCAGGCAGGTGCTTCTGCCATTGAACTATATCCCCAGCTCCATTTTCTTG